GAGCACAAAAACGATTGTTTAGGGTCAAGGCTAAGGTTCTGTATGGTTGTAGCATAAGAAAAGGAGTCTGGAAAATGGTTATCCAGAAAACGCCATCAATCAAATTACTTCAAGGAAAATTGCGAGCTTCTCAACTGCCCCAAAATTTGGTCCCAACAAGTGTCCTGTTTATTTAAAACTACTATGGATTGGTAACATTTCAACAAAATTTGAAAAGCAATTGAAAACGGCCATTACTAAATGTTTTCCTGCAGTGAACCTCTACTGTGCTTATTCCACACGTAAGCTGTTGCCTGCAACACACAAAGATGCGATACTTACCACACAGAAAAGTATGGTTATTTATTAATTCTCGTGCCACTGCGAATGACGATACGTAGGTCGCACTTCACAAAGACTGCAGGATAGAATTAAACAACATGTACCCACATCCATAAGAACTAAGAGTGTGAAAGAAAAGAATTTACCATGTCGTTCCTGTAAAACAAAAGTTCTACCACCTAAATGTGAATCAGCGATTGGCTAGTATTTACTAGTGAACCCGACTTGTGCTGACAACTACACGGATAGCAGGTTTCAAATTATTGCAAATGGTCGGTCGACCTTTCATCTCTATATTTTGGAAGCCACCTTTATTAAAACACATAAGCCTGTCCTTTGCCACCAAAAATAATTCCTATACAATCTACACATCCTTCAGTAGGTCTGTGACATTTCCTGATTAGCTAAAGGACACGCCAATCAGTAATTGCCTTACCGGTTTACTTTGATTTGACTCAATTTATAAGCTGTACTATTTCCTATATATCATTTTCCAGACAGTTCTGCTATGATTAGTGTCTGGCGAAAAGCTTCAGCAGATATTTCATTTGCAACACCTCATCCAACAATTGGTCCAGTTATCAACGCTATTTTCAAGTTTTGAACAACTCGACTTTCAAAATCTACGTTTCTATATGAGCCGATATTTCCGTTTATGAACGTTATATTTTAAGATCTGTGCAAGAACTCAGCTAATAGATGTTTCCGTATATTAAATCTATCTTCAAGTTTTGTACAACCAAAAAACTCTTCAAATTCTAATTTTCCAAAACTATTTATTATTCTGTACTTCTATGCAAAACGTTAAATTGATAAAAATCAACAAGTCTAATCTCGGTTTATTCAGGGAATCCGACAAACGATGTTGTAATTTATTTTCCAAATGGTTTTTAGAGTTTGTTTCGGTATCATGAAACATGACTTGGGCAGAACGGTACTGTGTACAATACCTTAACCTTTTATTAGAGTCCGTCAATTGTAAGAAATTAGGACACTAATTATTCCACTGATTCCACTACGAATAGAGAGATAAATTATAAAGTAAAACATGTGTTAAAACTGGGAAACAATGACATCATTTTTAGATATTTGTGTTTGAGGTGACTGTAGAAAAAAAAAAAGGGAATCCTCAAAAGTCGCGGCTTTTTGGGCAGAATTACAATAAATTAATCTATGAGACTTTGGGTGTGGTGAAATATGTCAATCGAAAGAGTTTGACCTCCTGAGTCCAAAACTGTAATTATATCTCAAATTGATCAATAGATGAGGGAGCTATGAGCTAAAAGTTTATACTTTAAAACAAACAAACAAAAAACCGTTGTATGAGCCGCTATGCCGTGGCTAGTAATGAAACATGCCCGTTTACATTACCTTTCAGGAAGAACGCTAAAAGTATCACGTAGACATAAACTTGAATGGTGGCAGAAGATACTGCGTAAAGTATGACCACGTAAATTATAAACAATGTGTAGTTAGATAATATTCAAAAATAAATTATTATTGTTTTCGCCGAAATCCTCATATATATATGTATATATATTTCAAATCATTAACCAATTATGTTTTTTGTGTTAATATAGTTAGGGCCAAAAAAAGATAAGTAATTTACTATAACTAATAAAACAAACAAGGTGCGATAAGTTCTAACTGTGAACAAACATTCCATTCGTTCCAGACTCTACTGTTTGCCCATCAAAAGTTCCTTACCTTTTCGGCTATAAAGTAACACTCGACTTCTGTCTAAACTGCTAGGTAAGATGGTCACTCTGCTTTCGTCTTCTAAAGTTAGACATTCAGTTGTCATCTGTTGAAAATTTAGTACATAAAGGTTGAGTTGTCATCTGTTGAAGATATAGTACAGAAACGTTTAGTTGCCATCTGTTGAAGATTTAGTACATACACGTTCAATTTTCATTTGATGAAGATTTAGTTCATACATGTCCAGTTGTCATCTGTTGAAGATTTAGTACAGAAACGTTTAGTTGCCATCTGTTGAGGATTTAGTACATACACGTTCAATTGTAATCTGTTGAAGATTTAGTACATATATGTTTAGTTGCCCTCTGTTGAGGATTTAGTACATATATGTTTAGTTGTCCTCTGTTGAGGATTTAGTTCATACATTTCAGTTGTCATCTGTTGAAGATTTAGTACAGAAACGTTTAGTTGCCATCTGTTGAAGATTTAGCACATATATGTTTAGTTGTTCTCTCTTGAAGATTTAGTTCATAAATGTTTAGTTGTCATCTGTTGAAGATTTAGCACATATATGTTTAGTTGTTCTCTGTTGAAGATTTAGTACATACACTTTCAGTTGTTATCTGTTGAGGATTTAGTACATAAACGTTCAACTATCAACTGTTGAAGATTTATTATATATATACATTCAGTTGTAATATTTTAAAGATTGACTATATACACTTTCAGTTGTTATTTGTTGAAGATTGAGCACAAACACGCCCAGTTTTAATATGTTGAGATTAAGTACATATATGCCCAGTTGTCACTTAAAAGTTACACACACAAATGAAATTTACTCATTTGAAAATTACACATAAACCCAATAAACTTAAATCACGTGAAGGTTACGCACAAACCCAATAAACTTAAATCACCTGAAAGTTAAACACAAAATAAAATTACTTAAGTCACCTGAAGATTACACACTAACTCAAATCATTTAAGTCACCTGAAGGTTACGCACAAATCCAGTTCATTTGAGTCACCTGAAGCTTACACTCGAACTGATATCACTTAAATCACCTGAAAGTTACGCACAAATCTAAATTATTTAAGTCCCACGAAGGTAACGAAAAAACGCATCTTCCTTCCAGCTGAAAGTAATACCCTAACAATGACTGGTTTGAATAATTAAGTCAATCGTGGGATTTGTACCGTTATCTTAGGTTCAAAATCCAGTTATATTAGATTGATAGATAAGGCGTCTTTTTTGTACGTGTAACTTATAACTTCTGATATAAACATGTAAGCTTTGTTTTGTTTTTTTATCAAAGACGCCAAACATTTATCAATATATCAACAAAATCTTATTGAAGAAACACATACTTTTGGTAGTTACAACATTTTATTTACGCTCGAAGTTACTGTTATTCTGAAAACTTGATTGTGGTTATTTTCAAAGAGTCCGTTGTAATATGTTATTTTATTGTTTCTAAGTAACCCGAGAAGCAGGAACTTAAGACTAGTACAATACACTTATGTTTCTAAATAAGCCGAAAAGCGGGAATTTGAGGCTAGTCCTGTACATTTATCATTTCTAAATAAGCCGAGAAGCAGGAACGCGACGCTAGTCCTGTACATTTATTGCTTCTTAATAGGTCGATAAGGAGGAATTTAGAACTAGAGCCATAAAGCTAACATTTCCAAAAAGTCAAGAAGTGGAAACCTAGGACAAATATATGTATATATATTGTAATCTCTTTTCAGATCTGACCAGGCGTAGCTTAATGTTTATGTGCCGGAGTTTGAATTCGAAGATTCATGGTTTACGTCCTGTTGCCGCATAAACGTGATCTGCACTTTAAGGTTCTGGGTTCTCTATAAGAGTGACGGTCAAATCCGACTAGTCAATCAGAGAAGAGGAGCCCAAGAGATGGCGATGGTGTTGTTGTTGTTAGCTACCTTCCCTCTAATCCCTCAGTTCAAAATTATGGATGGCATAACTGGGTTGGAGTATGTTAGATATTTTTTAAGTAACAAACTTTAGTTTTCGAAAAATAAAAGTTTTTAGTTATCCCAACGTTTAAATGTAACTCCTTTATCAAATGTTGTTACGTTTGGATGTTACTCCTTTATCAAATGCTGTTACGTTTGAATGTAACTCCTTTATCAAATGTTGTTACGTTTGGATGTTACTCCTTTATCAAATGTTGTTACGTTTGAATGTAACTCCTTTATCAAATGTTGTTACGTTTGGATGTTACTCCTTTATCAAATGTTGTTACGTTTGAATGTAACTCCTTTATCAAATGTTGTTACGTTTGGATGTTACTCCTTTATCAAATGTTGTTGCTGCTTGAGAGATTGTACAGTTAAAGATTAACGTTAGCATCGTATACAACAAATACTAGATGCTTATAGACACAGACACGTTTTTTTTTATGTTTTGCTTGTTTTTTCTTAGTTACTAGTGCGTATAATACTTCAGTCAGCACTAAACGTTTATTTTAAGTCGATAATGTTTTTATTTAATGATTTTGTTGTCATGTTTTGGTATAGTTTTATAAATATAAAACTAGGATTGGTGTTATAGTCAGTAAACAGTAAAGGTGACTGTGGTAGCTATGAATCCAATGTTAAAATTAAGCATTTAAGGACTTTGAAGAACGAGAAGTTAAATGTTGCTCCTTTGAAACTTTGTTGATGGTACTACATCTCTATAAAAGAGCTTATTAACTACACGAATTAAAATATTTATTTTTGCGTGCATTAGATGTCAAAAAAGTTGACTAACTGCCTGAGACACTGTCGTTTGTATCCGGCAGCGCAGTATCAAAGCTTACGTAGGGGTTTCCGTTTTAATTTCTTCTTTCTTCCTTTTAGTCAGATGTAACTCATAAACCACAGTGCCTAAAAAGAAAAAAAAAAGAAGAAGAAAGAAAGAAAAAAAAAGTCCAGAAACTAGCAATAAAATTTGTATTATGAAATTGTTGGGATGTAGGAGTGGAAAAAGATCAGAAACTAGAGAGAATTTGGAATGTGAGAACAAATCTGCATTATCCATTCTTGCATTCAACCACTTACATGGTGGATTCATATATACATTAACTCAACAAATCATTGTTAGGCTTACAGATGGTGTAACTACACTGCACACGCTTAACACTTGTTTATAAAGCTATATGGCTTTGTGTCGTTATATGAAAATATAGTTAAAATACTCAGTTTTTTTTTTTTGCAATAATACGTCGACTTCTTTAGAAATATACTGTGTTGGCAATGCATTAACCTTCTCTTATCTAAAGAATATTGTAATACGTATTTATGTTGCAGTAATGTTCACGGTTAGCATTGATGTTTCTATTTTTCTTATGTTCAAGCACAGTTATAATATGTTATGTGTTTTATTATGCTGTTTTGGTACGTTACAAACAACACGTTTTAATACGCCTCTACTTACTAGTATATATACAAAGATTGTTATAAAAGCTTGAAGAGGTTTAAAAAACACTTCCAGATGTTTTTTGTATTAGTCCTAATTGTTTCTGTTTTCTTTTAAAATACACACTGTATGTAAACACACATTACAAGTATATACAGTATGTATAATTAATAGAACAATTTCGTTTTTATTTTTAAGAAATGTTGTTTATTTTTAATTAAGCCCAAAGCTACACAATGGGCTATCTGTGCTGTGCTCACCGCTGGTATCAAAAACCGATTTCTAGCGTTATAAGTATACAGATTTTCCGCTGTGCCAATGTGGGATTTAAGAAATTATATTAAATGATTAATACACAATATTAATATAAACACATGTGAGTATTCAAAGAGACTGGGTTAAAAAAGGAATGTAAGGTTTCACATAAATCTATTTATTTGTGAGTCTTAAGCCTTATTGACTAAACCGTTAAGTCAGAGATCTCAAAGTTCAGGAAAAGCTGTCTCTAATTTTGAACTGCTGACCAGAAGGAAGGAAACCAGTCTGTAGTACCCACCGCTTACACAAATAATTTTACCGGTTATAATTTTTATAACAGGTCCACAGCTGAAAAGATATCGTAGCTTGGACTTTGGATTTTACGATAAGTAGCTCGGCACACAACCATTAGTCCACGTCCGGCCCATCATTTTATATTTCGTAGATCATTGAACACTCTGATTTCTTGTATAATATAAGCTTGCTAATTATAATTTTATTTCTATATACAAATGATTATCTGAATGGCAATACATAAAAAAAAGATACGTTTGTATAATTATAAGTTGTATGAATTGTAATCCCTGAAAGTAAATGTTATGATGAGGAATTACTTATAATTTAAAAATTCACAAATTGTTAAAACAGCAAGCATTAAAGTTTTAAAATTTATTTCTCCTTAATAAAATGATTAAAATGAACATTGATGTTACTTTTTTCTCAAAACATTTTTATTAAAGCAAACACATGCTCATAACAGTGAATCGGTGTCAGTTTTTATTCAGGCGTTGAGGTAACAATGTATCTAGGAAACTGTCAGATATAAATGACTGTTTAGTGTAGGTTGTATTATTAATAAATTTATTTTCTGTTTATAATTCACTGGTGTCGAGAATATCGAACATTGTGTTTGCAATCCATTGATGTCGAGGATATAGAGATTTCTAGAAGGTCTAAGTGATAGACGTATAAGTAGCTGCGACCAGAGGAGCGAAAAAAGATAATTTGTTTGTTTATTTGTAGATAAGCACAAAGCTACACAAAGGGCTATCTGTGCTCTGCACACCACCAGTATCAAAACCTAGTTTCTAGCGTTGTAAGTCCGCAGACATACCGCTGTGCCAATGGGGGCGAAAAAGAAAAGGAGTAAAAAGTAAAGCCATAGGAAAGAGAAGTTTAGAGAGAGAAAAGTTAGAAAATGCAAAGTTAACCATCGTAGGTGTGAAAGGCTTAACGGTTGGATATGTTAGAGTGAGATCAACAGTTTTAAAGAGACAAGGATAATAATGTGTCTAAAGCAATTGAATTGGCCTAAGTGGACTTTTAACAACAAGAAGAGAACTGTATAGTGTTTAAGATACAACTATGATCTCCGTAGTGTAAAGAATTTTGTATATACGTTCAACTTGTTTCTAATATATATATTATTTTAAAAACAAGTGGAGTGCGTGTTGATCGTTTATTGTCGAACTTATCGACAACAAGTCACATATACCTACTGTAGAAGAATCCTTAGCCCAACATAGCCATATACTTACATTAATATATATACAACTAAAAAGTACTTCCTGACACAAACGCTTTGTTTTTAAGGATTCATACATTACTTTGCTTGGAGTAATAATAAGATCACAATTAAGTAAATATCATTCGAGTAATTATATTCTTCATATGCACAAAACTATACACCATTACGAAGGAGATGCTTTTTATATGATGTAATTGGAAGCCAACATCACAGTCTAGAGTTAACTAAGTCTTACACTTTGTACAGATACGAACTAAGAAAAATAAAATAAGGCCAAAGCTTGTTATTCGAATACTTTTGGATACATATTCACAGCATCTTATCCTTCCCTAACATCGAGTTAACTTACATCTATTTACTGGCGTAAAAATCTGTTTCTTTATAATATTAGACATATCTCTATGCCATCTTTTGGTGTTTAAGAGAAGGAATAAAATGAATTGAATTATTTACCCTTTACAAAGTTTTGCTTCTTCAATGTTAACATTTTATTCAGCTCTTTTTAAGAATATTTCCGGAAAAGCCCAACAAGAAATAGTGTAACAAATCGTCATGTTAGATTATATTTATTAAAATTTAACAACAGCTGCAGCTTAAAGTTATTATCACAGGTATTTAAAAGGTAAAATTGGAGGAACGCGGGGAAAAAAACTGCAGTTTGCGTGATTTTTATCAACAATTTTAGATCAATAGTATTTTAAACAAATATAGTGGCATATTTTATTGTCTGTACAATGTAATTTTTCATATAATTTTATTTTTCATTTAGTTATTGTTGCCAGGCCTACTGTATATGAATTCACCTTTTAGTCTATATAAGAAATTCACATACCATGAAACTACACAGCTGAAATCAATACAACTTATGAAATACCTTTAAATCAAATTTCCAGTAACAATTCTAAAATTTTTAGTCTTTCTTGTCACTCGTATAACAATTTTTTTGTATTCAAGAGATGTTTTTTACCCCTTCACAATAATAATTAAAGTTGAAAGATACAAAAAGAGATAATAAAAGCCTCAATCATATCTATGCATTTTTGAATATGTAACTTTTTTGTTTTTACTATTGTTTTCAACGCGATTTGCTCAAGAAGCTTGGGCGCTTACCAAAGAAAGAAGGTCTCTTTCTTTGCCTAAAAAGTCCAGAAAAACGGCTGCTTTCAGTAGTAGTAGTTTCTTGGTCGTCCTTAGCAGTCAAGTCCCTGTCTTTGATTTCTTTAGGAGCTTCCTCAGTAACTGGGGTCTTAACAGTGATCTTTGAAGCATCAGTGGCTGATGTAGAGGGGTCAGTAGTATTCTCAACCTCTCCTTCTTCCTCATTATGGTATCCAAATCTTCTACGACCACCTCGCAAAAATGGCAAGGAAGGTGTTTTTGAATTTTGTTTACGACTCAAAAAACTTGGCCGAGAACCAGAGGATTCAGTAGTCGACATGTTTTCAGTTCTCTCTGTAGAACCACGATTTGAGTTTCTGCTATTTCCATAACGTCTGAAACCACCAAAACGTCGTTTGGTTGTCCAGCGAGAAGATTCAGTTGTAGTTGTACTTTCTCTCTCGTTTTCTTCGACGCCATCATCACTGGAATTGTCGAAGCGATTTCTTCTGAAAGACGATCGAAAGCGATTTCTTCTGGAATATCTACTTCCAGCGCGTGACTGATCCCTTCTAGTTGTAGTTTCTTCAGTCGTCGTGAAATCAGCTGTAGTTGTCGTAGATAATGTAGGTCGTCTTGGATAATAAGATATTGGTTGTCGTCTTCTTGTACTAAACCCGCGTCGAGAGCCAAAAGTTAATCGTCGGCTCCTTTCTGTGGTTGTGGTAGGTTCTTCAGTTCTAGTTGTAGCTTCAGTAGTTGTGATAAAAGATGCTTCTGTGGGTTTTGTTATAGCTTGAACGACAGTTAATTCATTTATATTTTCAGGGTTTTTTTCTCTGTTTAACTCATTATTTGCCGAGAGATTTGATGTTGGTGAGGGAATGCTTCCCGAGGAGCTGGGACCGGCACCTATGGCAGAAGAAGATTCCACATCATTATTAATTCTCCTCCTTGGTGATTCAATCTGACCACCTGTTTGATGAGCTACTAAATTTGGTGAAATAGGAAATTTGAGAACATTGTTTCCATAGCGGTAAGTATTAGAAATAGTGGAATTTTCAGATATGGAGACTGATATAGAAGGATCCATGTCTGTTTTAGAGACTCCAGTTACTGCTGCATCTTGAAAAGAGGTTTGAAAAGGTAAACTTAGAGACTGTGAAACCGAGAAACTGCTATGATCTTTGAAGGCATTGTTGGTTACGTTTTGTGAGATGTTAAGTCTTCTATTGCTCTTTTCTGGTTTGTCTTTGGCATAGTTACCTTGAGAATGATCGTACGATTCAAGATTTGGAATATCATCTAAGCTCAGAGTTGGGTTAGTTTTGTTTGCTTTGTCATCCTCATAATAATAATAATAGTAAATAACATAGTCATCCTCGTTACTGGCTTTGTCTTTAGCGATAGGCTTTTTGTCAAATTCGATTTCCGAGGCTGGTATTTTCTGGATCACAGATTGCACAGATGGCTGCACAGCCCTAGTCTTTTCTGGCTCTTGATGGATTAATTCAGTGGAATGAGAAGTAGAAAAAGAGATGCCTTGTGAATCAGATTCCTGTTGACCTGTAGGTGATGTCGAACGTGAGCCTTGAGAAGTATTGATGACTACTGGTTGGCCATTAATGTAAATTACTTGTTGGCTGACACTAGGTTGAGGGTTAGAGGGTTGAAATTGTGACTGTGGGACGTACTGATATTGTTGTTGCTGATCCTGAATGTTGAATTGAGGTTCAGTGTTACTCTGTTGGGGAAGAACAGGAGGCTGATATTGTGGGCGGTTTCTTATTTGACTAAGTGGTTGGTATGGCGGCTGATATTGTTGGTCCTGAGATTGAAGAGGAGTGGATTGAACATTATTTTGTATGTGGTAACGAACCTTAGGCGGTAAGTCCCAATTCTGTGGTTGCGGTGGCAAAGGAAACTGATAATGAGATTTTTGAAGCTGCTGAAGGTTTATTGAAGTCTGGAATCTAGCTGAGTTTTGATCCTGTTGCCTTGGATTTTCATTAGATTTCACGTGCATTTGAAAGTTCTTCAGAAGTGGCTCTTGACGTTTCTGTCGTGATGCATGTGAACGAGTTACTAACAAAAGCGATAACACGATCACTGATGACCTGTTAAAAATAAACACGTTTGAATGCCAGACCAAACTACGAAACGTAAATACACTCTATTTCAGAATCTACATATAAATAAAGATTGACCTTTACTTAAATCTTGCAATGTTCGTAACTATATAACTCATCAACATTAACTAATGATTAGAAATTTATACAGCTAAGATTTTAGTTAATATTTTATTTATATTCTAGTTAATGATTACTCATTCATATACAAATAATGTTAAAGTATATATGCATATATATATATATT